CTGAATTTGAATTTAAAATAACAGCAGTCACCAAGGAAACTCAAAGAACCAAACCTAGCCCTGTCATAGTCAAAAGTATTAAAAAACAAAATTAAAAGATAAAAAAGAGATAACTATAAGGACAGGCAGCCTTGGTGGCACAGTGGCTAAAGTGCTTGGCTGCTAACTAAAAGGTCTATAGTTTGAACTCACTAGTTGTTCTGGGAGAGAAAGATAGGCCAGTGGCTTTGGTGAAGATTTACAGCCTTGGAAACCCTGTGGGGGTAGTTCCCCTCTGTCCAGTAGGGTCACTATGAGAAGGAATTTACTTGATGGGAGTGGGTTTGGTTTGGTTTGGTTTATAAGAACAACTGGCTTCTCTTCACATAAAATAGAGTCTAGAAAAAAAAAAAAAAAAAAAAACATCTTTAACAGGATGAAAGAAAAAAACAATCTAAAATTCTATATTCCTATTTTAAAATCTTACTACACATCAGAATTTATGCATATAAAGCAATGATTAGAGGAAAACTCATTGCACTAAATGCTTGTATTAATAAAAATTAAAGAATGAAAATAACTGTAAATTCCTAGATCAAAAAACAAGAAAAATACAATAAAGTAAATCAAAAGAAAAATGAAGTTGTTGTTATGTGCCATCAAGTCATCTCCGACTCATAGCGACCCTTTGTATAACAGAATAAAACACTGCCCAGTCCTGTGCCAACCTCACAATCCCTACTATACCTGAGCCAATCACTCCAGCCACTGTATCAATCCATCTTGTTGAGGGTCTTCCTTTTTTTCATTGACCCTCCACTTTACCAAGCATGACATCCTTCTCCAGAGAATGGTCCCTTCTGACAACACGACCAAAGTAAGTGAGATGCAGTCTGGTCATTCTTACTTCCAAGGAGCATTCTGGCTGCACTTCTTCCAGGGTAGATTTGTTAGTTCTTTTAGCAGTCCATGGTACTTTCAGCATTCTTCACCAGCACCACAACTCAAAAGCATCATCTCTTCTTCAGTCTACCTTATTCATTGTCCGCTCTCACATGCGGATGAGGTGATTGAAAATGCCATGGCTTGGGTTAGGTGTATCTCAGTCTTCAAGGAGATAACTTTGCTCTTCATCACTTGAAAGAGGTCTTTTGCAGCAGATTTGCCTAAGGCAATATGTCGTCTGAATGTCTTGACTGCTGCTTCCATTGGCATTGATTGTAGAACCAAGCAACATAAAGTCTTTGACAAGTTCAGTCTTTTATCAATTTATCGTGATGCTGCTTGTTGGTCCAGTTGTGAGAATTTGTGTTTTCTTTATATTGAGGTATAATCCATACTGCAGACTGTGTCTTCAATCTTCACCAGTAAGTGCTTCAAGTCATCCTCACTTTCAGCAAGCAAAGCTGTGTCGTCTGCATATCTCAGGTTTATAATGAGCCTTCCTCCAATCCTGATGCCACATTTTTCTTCATATAACCCAGCTTCTCAGATTATTTGTTCAGCATATAAATTGAATAGGTACGGTGAAAGGATACAACCCTGATGCACTCCCTTCCTGATTTTAAACCATGCAGTATCCCCTTGTTCTCTTCAAATGACAGCCTTATGGTCTATGTATAGGTTCTTTGTGAGTACAATTAAGTGCTCTGGAATGCCCATTCTCAGTGTTGTCCACAACTTGTTATGATCCACACAACTGAATGAATGCCTTTGTGTAGTCAATAAAACACAAGTATATATCTTTCTGGTATTCTTTGTGTTGAGCCAAGATTCATGTGACATCAACTATGATTTTCCTCCCTCTATTATTTCATCCCCTTCTGGATCTAGCTTGCATTTCTGAAAGTTCTCTGTCAATACTTTTGCAACCATTTTTTGAATGATCTTCAGTAAGATTTTACTTATGTGTGATATCAATTACATTGTTTGAAAATTTCCACATTCTATGGAATCACCTTTCTTTGGAAAGGGTACAAATATGGATCTTTTTCAGTCAGTTGGCTAGGTAGCTGTCTTCCAAATCTCTTGACATAGCTTAGTGAGTGCCTCCAGCGTGGCATCTGTTTGTTAAAACATTTCAATGAGTGTTCTGTCAATTCCTTTTTTTTTTTTTTTTTGCCAATTCCTTTAGTTCAGCTTGTACTTCTTCCTTCAATACTATTAGTTCTTGATCATATGCCACCTCAAATGGATGAATATCAACCAATTCTTTTTGGTACAGTGACTCTGTGTGTGTATTCCTTCCATCTTCTTTTGATGTTTCCTGCGTCATTCAATATATTGCCCATGGAATCTTTCAGTATTGCAATTTGAGGCTTAAATTTTTTCCTCAGTTCTTTCAGTTTGAGAAATGCTGCATGTGTTCATCCCTCTTGGTTTTCTAACTCCAGGTCTTTGTACATTTTATTATAATAGTTGATTTTATCTTCTTGAGCTGCTCTTTGAAATCTTCAGTTCAGCTTTTTTATCTTGTCATTTCTTCTTTTTGTTTTAACTACTCTCCATTCAAGGGCAAGTTTCAGAGTCTCTTCTGACATCCATTGTGGTCTTGTCTTCATTTCTTGTCTTTTTAATGACCTTTTGCTTTCTTCATGGATGATGTTCTTGATGTCATCCCACATTCCTCTGGTTTTCGGTCATTGGTTTTCAATGCATCAAATCTATTCTTTAGATGGTCTCTAAATTCAGAAGGACTATAATCAAGGGTCTGGATATTATCCTGTCACTGACAGCATGGTACTTCAGGATAGATCTTGATACATTCTTTGTGATGATGAATGCCACTCCATTCCTCTTCAATTAGTCATTCTGAGCATAGTAGATCCTATGATTATCTGATTCAAAATGGCCAAAACCAGTCCATTTCATCTCACTAATGCCCAGGATATTGATCTTTATGCATTCCACTTCATTTTTGACAACTTCCAATTTTCCTAGATTCATACTTCATACATTCCATATTCTGATTATTAATGGATGCTTGCAGCTGTTTCTTGTGAAGATGTGCCACATCAGCAAATGAAGGTCCCAAAAGCTTTACTCTTTCCACATCATTAAGGTCAGCTGTACTCGGAGGAGGCAGCTTTTCCCCAGTCTTATGTTGAGTGCCTTCCAACCTGAGGGGCTCATCTTCTGGCTCTATGTTGGGCATTATTTTAGAGCTATTCATAAAGTTTTCCAATAATATATCAGACAGTGTTTCACTGCTATTCATAAGGTTTTCACTGGCCAATTCTTTGAGAAGTGGATGGCCTCTTCCTTCTTCCAAGTCTGTCTTAACTGGAAGCTCTGCCGAAGCCTATCCATCATAAGTAACTGTGCTGGCATTTGAAACACCGGTGGCATAGCCTCCAGCCTCACAGCAACATACAAGCCACCAGAGTAAGACAAACTGACAGACAAGTTTGTCTCTCTTAATTGTTCCAAACCACTCCACTCACTTTCCAGCCTCCTGCAGGTGCTCCAATACCCACCTCCTGGCACCTGGCTCACTTATGCTAGAAAAATGAAGGGAATTATAAAAATATAAGCAGCAGTTAATGGAGTAGAAAATACAAAAGTGGTAGTACTAATATGTAAATTAAAATGCTGTTTTTAATAGCTTCATTAAGATATAATTCATAAACCATATAATTCAGCTGTTTAAAGTATGCAATTCGGTATCTATTCACAAGTTGTATGAGTCAGAATTTACCTAACAACAGCCATCACCACAATCGAATTTTAGAGCATTTCCATCACCCATTAAACACCTCCACATCCCTTAGCTGTCACCCCTAATATCCCCCTCCCCCTCAGCCCTAGCCTATCCACTAGTTTCTTTCTTTGTCTGTAGATTTAACTATTCAAGCCATTTCATATAAATGGAATCATACAATATGTTGCCTTTTCTGACTGGTCTTTCATTTAACACATTTTCAAGTTTCATCCATGTAGTAACATATATCAGTACTTTTTTTATGACTGAATAATAGTCCATTGTATGAGGATACCCCTTTTATTTACCTATTCACCAGATGATGAACATTTGAGTTGTTTCCACCTTTTGGCCATTATGACTACTGCTGCAATGGACATTGTGTACAAGTTTTTGTGTGCAAGTATGTTTTAATTTTTCTTGGGTATATACTTAGGAAAGGAATTTCTGGATCATATGATAATATTTTTTTTTGAGATTTTTAGAACTTCCAAACAATTTTCCACAGTGACTGTACCATTTTACAGTCCCTCTAGCAGTACATAAGGGTTCCAATTTCTCCACATCTTTACCAAAAACCTCTATTATCAGTTTTATTTGTTTCCTTGCTTGCTTTTCATTACAGCCATTCTAGTAGCTTTGAAGTGATACCTCATTTTGGTTTTGATTTGCATTTCCCTAATGGCTAATGGTGGCATAGTGCCTAAGGCACTTGACTGCTAACCAGAAGGTTGGTGGTTCAAACCCACCAGCCCCTCCTTGGAAGGAAGATTGGGCAATCTACTTCCATAGAGATACTGCCTCGGGGTCGCTATGAGTTGGAGATGACTTGACAGGACATAACAACAACAACAACAATGGCTAATGGTGTTAAGCACTTTCATGTGCTTATTGGCCATTTATATATCTTTTCTGGAGAAATGTCTATTCAGATCTGTGGCAGTTAAGATTGTGGGTTAACTTGTCTGAGCCACGGTTTTGAGTGGCTTGGCACTTTGATGTAGTTATTCCTCATGATGAAATACTACAAGTGTAATTACCTCCATGGTGGAATCTGCTGTGAGCACCTTAGGGATATGGCCTGCTTCTACTATATATGAGGAAGCTTTGGGAAAGGTCTCTAGCTTTTTAGCACAGTTGGATCCTGCATTTGGCCAGGACTTCATCTCCAGTTTCTAAACTTGAACCAGTGGCCTGCTGTGTTGTCTGCTGTTCTTAGGATTGTTCCTCTACTTGAACCAGTGGCCTGTCATGTTGCATGCTGATCTTGGGATTGTGCCATTTTACCTGCTGATCTTGGGTTCATCAGCCTCAGCAGCCTGTTGCTGTGTGAGTAAGAAAAAGCCTCCAGCTCTACTGTACCTTGAACAAGAGGCAGAGCTGAAACCCAAGGTCACGGTGCCTTCACCTAGCCCCGAGAGCCAGCACTCTGAATTTGGACTTTTAGCCTCTTACACTGTAAAAAAAATAAGTTCCTGTTTGTTAAAGCCATCTACTTGTGGTATTTCTGTTGTAGCACCACTAGATAACTAAGACAAGATCTTTTACCCATTTTTAAATTGGTTTACTTAACTTACTATTGAGTTACAAGGGTTCTTTCTAATTGAAATCCCTTATCAGATACATGATTTACAAAAAATTGTATTCCATTCTATGTGTTATCATCTTACTTTCTTGATGGTAACTATTGTGTAGTTAATTACTTAATATGGCTCTTCTACCCGTGGTCTTTGTGACACCTACCAGATGAGTAGGTGGAACTATGCAAATGTAAGGTGCTTGTGACCTACCAAGGGGGATGGATAGCTTGTTAGTAATGTAAATAAGGTACATGGCACCCTTATGGGTGTGGGACCATGGAAATAAGGTATGTTGTTGTTGTTGTTGTTATTTGCCGTCGAGTCGGCCCCGACTCATAGCGACCCCTCCTTGGGTTTCCGAGGCAGTATCACTACGGAAGGAA